AAAAACACTGGGGGACAAAGACAAGGGTTTTCCCCTGGCTGCCCCCCCCCCCCCCCCCCCCGCCCCTGCAGTAAGCTATGACATTCTCACTCGAGTTCGGTGAGAGACACGAGTTCGGATAATACTGGATTATTAAAAGTTTGTGTCGGAACAAAGTGCGTCAAACGCTGATGTCATCAGCTGAGTTAACGCTGGTGGCAACTCTACAGACGCGACCGTACAAAAATGGACTCATTCTTGAAAGGGCACGTATGCTTTTTCAAATGTATTACAGCACACTTTCAGCCTCTACAAACAGATCAATGTTCAGATTGGGTCTGAAATTCTACATGAGAAAACAGTTTTTGAAATCGTGAGAAGCCACGACCATTTTTACTGCAGGTACAGCCGGACAGCATCACTGTGGGTGTGTCTTTTCTGGACTGATTTGACTGCCAATTTCCACTATATTTAGGCAATAAGAATATAAGTGTGGTGTTGTCTTTGTTCATGTGGCATACACAAGTTTGTTCCCCTTTAAACTGATTCCGTGACAAGGAAATAATTCCAGGTTTTGTAAAAAACACAACTCAGCTGTCTTTTAATAGTAACGACAAAACTCACCTAAACTTCATAGAGGACAACTTGGGTGTGTATAGCGGCACGCTTTCTGTAAATTTTTTTAATGAATTTCAAAATGGAGTACCTATAAAGTTTGGGTGACTATTCTTTTCTGCATTCCAAGGGATGAATAGCAGTGAGATGTAAATAGATGCTATGAATTAAAAGAAAATGGTAAAAAATAATCTTACCAAGGAACTGGGTCTAGGTGAATTGAGTAAATTTTGTCACTTAATAAATCAACTTGTGGGGAAAGTGGTAACTGTCATGTGGGGGGTCTTGAAGGGAGGACTCAGGTGCGGAGATGAGGGAAGACAAGGTTTATTGCAAAAAAGGAAGTCCAGACCAAATACACAAACACGGCTGTGGCAAACTATGAGCAAAGGCAAAGTAACAAAGTAAAGAATAACAAGACTGAAGAAAAATCTACGGCTGTGACAAAGTAACAAAATAACAATTAACAAAACTGTGGCAAAACTGTGGCTATGACAAAAACAAACCTGGCGTGGGGGTGACGAAGGACAGACGGACAAGAACGCACTCGCACAAGACAAGGGGAAATGAGGACTATTTAAACACAAGAGGGAGGGGAACCCCAGGTTCAATTCAATTCAATTCAATTCAACCCCAGGTGTACACAATAGGTAATCAAGACATGACGAGACACCAGACGTGAGGGAGCCCCCCCCTTAAGGGACGGCTCCCAGACGGCCCTAACACACACGAGGACCACGGGAGGGTGGGGGGGGGATTAGGAACAGAGGGAACAAACACAAGGCGTGGAACATGGCGTGTGGCTTGGCTGTGGGACTTGACTGGGGAACATGGCTGGGGGCATGACGAGGGACATGGCTGGGGGCATGACGAGG